GTGTGGCACTTGAGAAATGGTGGAGACGCCGTTGTTGACTTGGTGAGGGAGTTCTACTCCAATGTCGAGATCATCAACGGTGCAATCCGAACATATGTTCGAGGCACCCACATCGATGTAGATGAGGCGTGTCTTTTGGAGGTAAGGAGAAAGATGCCTTGGGTACAAAACCCAACATACCCACCAAAGAAAATGTGGCATTGAATGTGGTTGGAAAGGAGTTGACGGGGCTGATTGATGTTTCATGAGGAGGGAGGAAATTTTTAAAACAAGGAAAGCTCACTAACAAATACAAAATGCTTAATTTGATTGTAGTGGCGAATCTAGACCACATAGGAAGAAAAAATGAGATTTTGCCCAAGATGGCACACTTACTCTATGCACTAGGGCGAGGGCATAGCATCAACCTCCCCTCGTTGATTTTGAATGAGATGAAGAAGGGGTGCGATGCAAAAAGGAGTGCACTCCCATTTGGCACACTTGTAACTGAAATATGCACTGACAATGGGGTGAGGGTAAGGCCGAAAATGGACATTCAAAAGTCAATGGGGTAGCTGAACAAAGGGTCATTCAAGAGAAGCATAGGGCATAGTGGTGGCCCAGCGGCTAGGCAAGAGATGCCCCCTCCTCACGGAATCGATAACGTGCAAGAGGAGTTGGACACCGAAGAAGAAAGAGAGATGGAGACAGAGAGAGAGCATCCAAATCAAGTAGGCCCCAACATGACCACCCGACTTTCTCTACGGGCTTAGCATTAAAGCTAAGCAGGATAAGATCCTGAGGCTTTTGAGGGGTGGAGCTGGTGGTGCTAGTAGTGCTGGTGGTGCTAGTGGTACTGATGGAGAGGGAGATTGAGATATTTATTTCTATTCTTGAGGGGGAGTAGTTGATTTCTATTCTTGATTAATTTTCGTTTGTTGATTCTTCTTTGAATAGTTTTTGGGAAATTTTTGTACTGTTGTGAAGGAGTTGCTTTTAATAATTCTTGTGGATGTTTTGTGATTATTGTGGATACTTGTACTTATGGGAGATGTATATGCCTTTTTAGAGTTGATTGTGGATAGTTGAAGTTATGTTTTGAAGGGATGAATTGCATCATTGACATTATTGTAGACACATTATCCTTTATGGAATGAAGGATTTAGTTTATCATTTTTATTTGTTTAAAATGCATATATAAGATTAGCACTGTAATTCTTGCTAATGAAGAAACAAATGTGGATGCTAAGATTGCTTATGAAAAATGACTAAGCACATAATTAGTTTGACACCTCAACTTAACAACCAAGACGTAAAACCTCATTTTGAACCTCGATACTATCTCTATGATTTAATTGTCAAATGTACATCTGTATGAGCTATTCTTGAGGTATTCGGTGATCAAACTAAAAAATGGAATCACTATACAACTAACATTCCTAAAAACACTTGACATAATCAGTGGAGATGACAAAGAAAACCATGGTGAGTCTTGAGCTTTATGGTGCTTCTTGAGAGGACATCAACAATAACTCAAGGTAAACTCTTTCAATAATCTCATTAAACTTGCTTTGATTGATGCAACTAAAGCGATCTATTTTCATAACCCGCGGAGAACTTTTCCATACATATATACATATGCACATACTTGGGAAATGATCTTAGGCCGTCTTTGGATCGACTTTGAGCCTTAGCTAATTCTTTTACAAAAGTATATCCCTAGTCAGCTATGCTCGAGCCTTAAAATGAATGAATTCTTTTTCACCCGTGTAATAACCAAAACCACAAAAGCATATATTTATCATACCTTGCTATCTAATGTCTTGCACCCTCTTGCAAATCAATATGATAATAGAAAGGCCAGAAAAATAAAAAAGAAAAAGGTGGCTACTGTAAAAAAAAAAAAAAAAATATTAGACAGGGAATTGCCAAGAAAGTGAAAAATGGAAAAAATGAAAGAAAGAAATCTCATTCCCAAGCAAAATTTTGAGAAACTAGAAGGAGGTGTGTAAGAATGCGTAAAAAGATAGCCTTTGATCACCATTGACGTTCTTTCATTAGCCACAGGCCTCTGGCCCCATTACAACCTACAAAAAGCCCTAAGTGATCTCAAGTTCGATGCATATGTGTATTATCTACTACAAGTGAGGTGTGTTAACTAGAATTTCTCTATTTGCATCAATGTTCTTCCATGAGATTATGCCAAGGTTAAGTCTATTTTCCTCAAAAAAAACTTCACTCTTATACTAATGATGCATGAGATTTTTCAACTAGCCATCTTCTGATTACATGCCACCTTTGAGAGATATGTCACTATAATCAGAGCGATTTGTTTTGTTGAGGGCATTCCCAAAGAGGTTTGTGTAATCAAAGATATCCATGGAAGGTGAAAAAAGGGAATGATTGTTATATACCAATTCTTGTTTCCAGTATGACCATCCTACTACTGAAGGAATTCCAAGTGTTGATGCGACATATGCTAATTTTTGCATAGAATGAGTACCAATAGAAAAGAAATGTAGAGAAAAGTCACGATTGAGAGTCGAGTGTCTCAACTACCATAATACTTGTTCATTTTTAGTCAGCAATCTCACATACACACTTATTCGACTGAAGTTTGTGGGTAGCTTCACTAAAAACCCTCACGAGACAACACTAGTCCACTAGGGTAAACCTAGCGGTTCAACGGCTTGTTGCATAAGCTAAATGCAACTGGATGACCTACGAAAAAGGCATTAGGAATAGATTTACCTTTCATTGTCATTGTATTACTAGAGACTAGCAATATTTAGGTTGGGGGGTGTGATTCGTCTGAAAAGTTAACAATTTTTACTATGTTTTTGGGCTAATTGTACTTTGATTGAGTTTAAGTAATGAAATTTCAAGTCCTAAAGAGAACAAAGGCTCAAGAACAACAAAAATCACACTTGAATGTAACACTAGCACACTAGTGAACAAAATTGTAGAACATTGGAACAAAGCAAGGACTTTCAAACATTAACCCACGTTCAAACGTCCTCTGAATCCCTACCAAGACCAACTGCTAAGACATGGCGTGTTGCAGTCAACAAAGGGCAAATGCTAAGGTACTTGAGTACCACGTTCGAACGCCAACTCATGTTCGAACCTCCTCTAGAATCCTGAGAAGACTATACCACTGGAACCTGTCATGTTGCAGTAAAGAAAGAAGAACCAGAAATACTTGAGTACAATGTTCGAATGCCACTCCACGTTCGAACGTTGTCTTGGGTGACTGAGGACCAAGTTGCTAAGTGTAAAGTCAAGGTTGTTCAAGACATAACGAAGTGACCAAGTCAGTAACCACATGCCACTTGAATGGAAGGAATCAGACCCCATCTGGCATTCAAACGTCCTCAAAGCAAAGACACAAACAACGTTCGAACGACATCTCACGTTCGAACGTCCTTAAAGAAAAGATAGACATAACGTTCGAACGCCAGATCACGTTCAAGCGTCCCCCTGCAGACTGCCTGCAGAATAGTTGATTCCCATGGGCGGCAAATACTATTCACTCATCCTTTCTTATCTCCTACCCCCCTCCCCTTCCTTGCCTATAAATACTCCCATGTTGGGAGCTTAAAAGGCATTCTTCCTCTTGTAGAGAAAATGGGGAGCAATCTTTGTTCTTGTAAAGTAAGAGTGTTTAGTAATCTAAATCTTGAACATTTCATGTTTATATTTTCATTTTGCATTTATATCAACCATGACGGAGGCTTAGACTCCCCTTGTAGTTGAAGTCTTTCATTTACTTATGCTAAGTCTTTACATTCATNCATTTCATGTTTATGCTTTCATTTTCCATTTATATCAACCATGATGGAGGCTTAGACTCCCCTTGTAGTTGAAGTCTTTCATTTACTTATGCTAAGTCTTTACATTCATTTTGTGACAACCATGATAAGGCTTACACTCCCCTTGTAGTTGTACTTGCTTTTATTTACAAAGTATCAAGAGAGGTAGTTCATCTTTTGGTTATGGTAGAAACCCTCCAAAAGTAACTAGCTTTCTTCTACTTTTTTGTTCATGTATTTCACTTCCACTACTTGAGCATCCTTCTTTCTTAGAAGAGTGAAACTCTTCCACTTTTTTAGAGCTTTACCAAAGCCGTGAAGGGTGGAAAGTGATTCATTTATTCTTCATTGAAGATAAGCTCTTTGTTTAGTTTGCTTTACTTAGTAGCTTCTCTACTTAGAGGGATGAGTAGCACTCACATTTCTAGCTTTGCCAAGACCATGAAAAGTGAGTAGTTCCTCATTCACTCGTTAATAAGAGATGATGAATATGTAAAGATTATCCAAAAGTTATGTTTGTGCAATTTCTTCATGCTTTAATGCTTTATACTCCACCTGTTCATTGGACGATTGAATGTACCTAGCAAAGTTGAGGTACTTTGTATAACCAAGGGCTCCATCTATGATACAGATGACTCCTGCATAGAAAGATCCGTTGGTTCAATGCAAGTACCCCAGCTAAATCTTCATGACAACCTTTCAATCCCCACCATTATTGCGCTTTATTCAAAGAATGGATCATTAATGTCATGGTTGGATGCCTTGTAGAAACACTTGCTTGTTTGTAGACGGGTTAAGTCTATGCACAGACAATTTTTGTATGCTTCTAGAAAAGCATCAGAATCATGTGCTTAATCTCACAGTCTATCTTTATCTTCCGATTAACTTACTATTGACACGGGAGTTAATTGAGTTATAAAGCACAAACATAATAAAATGGATACTCTATTACATGTTCTAATCCTCGAGCTAAAGGGTGGCTGTTACATTTTGAGAATCTTATATTTTGTCTAGAAAACTCTTGAAAAGAATTTTCTATTCTATTCAAGAAAACCCCACCACTCCAAACTCTCAAAATTTCCAAGTTACTTGGTCTCTATTATTGCTTACTTCAAAACACCAATCATAGTTCCCTGTGAATTCGACTCCGGACTTCACCGGATTATTACTACAACTTGACCGCCTGCACTTGGGTGTACACATTTTGGATCAAGTCAGCTCCTCAGCTTGCAGCTCCATACCAGGTGACCGTGCAGGTGAAGAAACAATAGTAGAGTTAGTAGGAGTCACTTCATGAGTAAGAACGGGCAGAAGAATCAAAGCCTCATGAATGACTAGGATCTCAACAGGTTTGGGGGCATCATCTAAAAGAACAATTTGCTCAGTCTCCAGAGTAGATGGATGAGCCATACTGTCAGGAATTTGAACGGATGAAAGGACGAATTCGGCAGGATCACCCGAAGAAAACTTCAAAAAAACTTCACCAATTTGTTCCTTCTAGATGAAGAAACAACAAATTTTTGTCAACAATGAGGGGCAACAACACGTTAAGCTTCCCCCACCTCTTCTAAGGTTGAGGGAGAATTGAGGTTGATTACTAGAATCAAAGCCAGAATTTGCACCCCCCGAATTGATTGAGCAACCATCTCAGCTGCCTCTCCGGAGTCCCAAAGTCGAAAGGAGGGAGGGCCAAGAGACTGATGAAGATTCCTTCTTCAACAATGCTGAGTTGGCTGCTGGGGCTATTTCATCCATTCTCCCTGAATTCGATATTTAGAGGGCCTCTACCATGTCTCCTAAGGCCTCTTTCTGCTCATCTCTCTAAGGAGCAGCCACTGTAAGTACTTTCACACTCACTCTTAGCTTGACGCGGTTGAATTGTGTTGATCTATGTATGTTTCCTCTTTCTTTTTTTCTTTTTTGTTCACAGATGGCTCTTCACTTGAACAACTTGATGGCAGGGTCCGATCTTCGGAGGACACTGCCAAAGTTTTGAAGACATACGAGTTTATGGTCGCTAAGCTGACTTTTGACAATGAGAGCCTCAAAACTCAGGTGCAAAAGCTCGAGGAACAAATGGAGAAGCAGGCCTCTGACTACGAAGGCCATCAAGTTGCTAAAGATAGGGCTGAGGATAGAGAGAAGAAGGTCAAGGATGAGCTGAGGATGAACAGGAAAAAGCTGTTACTCAAAACCAATGCCTGGAACAAAGCTAGCTAGGAAGCCTTTGCTGCTTGGGGCTCCCTTGAGAGCCTTAAGAAGGAGTATGTTATACTAGCTGAGGTGAACGAGAGCCTATGCGGTGAGCTTGAGGTGCAGAAGACAGCTGTCAAGGAGAGGAATGACATAATAGTCGAGCTGAAGGATGATGTCACCACCAAGTGGGCCTCAGGATGGCTGGCCTTTCAGCGCAAAGTGAAGAAGGCCTTCCCAGACCTCGACTTTGACTTTGTCATCCCCACTGAGAATGAGTCTGATTCAGAGGGCGATGACAACACCTTGGCTCCTGCTACCTCTGATAGGGCTCTGGAAGTTACTGAAATGTCCACTCCTCCAACTGTTCCTGCCAATACATCCTTTTCTACTGATCTGGTAACAAGAGCTCTGCCTGAGATCGAGGCCCCAGCCTCCTCACCTGTTCTTGGCTCTTCTGAGATTTCAACTGCTGCCTTGCCAGAAAAGTTGCCTGGTGAGCTGTCGAGCTTTGCCTCTGTTCCTGCTACTGAGACTATAGTAACTTTATTGCAAGATCCTCCACCTGTTCCCTCTTTAGAAACTTAGGATCTTTTAATTCCTTCTTTCTCTAGCATTTGTAACTTCTATTGGGGAATATAAACTTGGCTTACTTTCCTGACTCGTCTGAATGGTAAATGCACTAATTTTTTTCTCTTTCTCCAATTGCTTTCTAAGACAATCTAACCCGCTCTTTTAATATAGTCTACTATGCTCAATACGATATCACAATCCAACTTGCTTTTCAATGCAGTCTACTATGCTCTAACACAATAACACAATCCAACTTGCTCTTCAATGCAGTCTATTTTATTTTTCTCCGATCTACTCTCATTAATTTGTGGTTAGCTGCTCGCGTACTGCTCTGTACTCTCATTGCCCCCCATTGCTTTGAGGGGAACTGAGTTTCTCTAAAAACAAAGCTGCTGGAACTGCAAGTCTGCTAGCTTCCTAAGCTCTTTTGAGAGGAAAGGAATTGAGATCTGACTTGGGGAGATTAACATGCTTGTGTTTAGTCGAAGAGAGTGTGTTGCTTGTTTGAACAGTTGGGAGCTGCCTTGGAAGGTCTGTACAACCATACGAGCTACACTTAACTCATAAATATCTGAATGTTTGGGACCTCAGAGAGTCTTCCAGGATCGCCGAGCTCTATCATGGATGCATAGTTAATCTCACATGTTATATTACAGCTAATTGCCCTGAACTTCTGCTGGACAGTCGAGGGCTGTTATTGCTTGAGATGGAAGGTAATGTTGAGGCTACTTGGTCTGGAGTCTTATGGATGTTAACCTTCTATTTTTGTACATCTAATTCTTGATCTTTTTGATTTTTGAAAATCTTAAAGTAGAGCCCACCCCAAAGGAGCATTGGATGGTGGACTTGACATTCCTCACAGTGACAAGAGGTTTACTGGATTTGGGAAAGAGAGTAAGCAACTTGATGCTGAGTTCCATCACAAATACATCTTTGGAGGTCATGTTGCTGCATGCATAGGAACTTTGTTGGAAGAAAAACCTTTCTGGAAGTTTAACCCGAGGTCCACACAATACTTTTTCAAGGAGATGTATCAGAAGGTCCACACAACCATACGAGCAGGTCTCTCTCTGGAAAGGCATCTTACCTCCAAAATTAGGAGTTGAGTTTTGCCTAGGCTCATCGAGTGCTGAAAATGCTTAAGGTGGATGAGGGATAATGAGGAAATGTTGAGGCTATTATTTCCTTATGTTAATCCAACCTCACCACATGAAGTCTCTTTCTCTGAGCGCTCCTAGATGATGGCCTTATACGAACCTCTACCAAGAAGCCCCTGTTTCCATAGGGCTTGCCTATTGTCTTATTTTTGCTAAGTTACATAACTGTTTATGTTTCTCTTTCCCGGTCTTTCCTCCCCTTTAAGGCAACAAGGCCTAGAGCTACCATGCATTCCCCTGACTGAGCTCTTAATTCCCCGGAGCTTGAAAACCCTTGGTGCAGACCTCCCAGAACTCTATTAGGGTCAACAGAGCGTACTGAACCCCTGGAAATCTGGTTTCATTCTTGGAAGGTCTCTCCTTGTTACTGGGTGTAAAGATTAGGGTGTGATTGCTTCTAGTGCATCTGCTAGCTTTGCTGGAAATATGGTCCTAGCAGTTACTTATGCTTACGAAGCCTTGCTGTGCCTTAGGAATAAAGTTTCTCTTTTTGTCAGCCCAAAGAAATTTGAGAAGTCTCTTTTGGGATGTGATCCAATTGTTTAAATTATTGAACCCTGTCATAACCGAGGAAAGAATCCGACCTCCTAAGCTTATCCAAGGCTGTATCAAGCCTTCCTTGGCTATTTAATTGCTCATGACTGGTAGAATCTGTCATTAACTCCTCCTTTATTGTCCATATTTTATTGCCTTCTTTAAACATATCCGTTGCCTTAATTTGGAAACCCAAAGGTCTGCCGCCTTTGGGTTCGGCGTGCTTCTTGATTCTTTAATATCTTGACTTCTTGTTCCATGGACATTCATCCCTTCGAAAGCTTTTCACCTTTGTAATCTTCTTCCCACATCTCCCCTTTGCCTTCCTGTAACTCCAATGGCTACCCCAATCTCCTCCCTGTTCAAGGAATGGAGCTCCTGTGGAATTGAGTGGGAGTGGAAGACCCGTTACTTAGTGCCTTCGTCATTGTCACCGTTAGACTTAGTCGAGATAAAGAAGAAATTCTTTCTTGATGTGGAACTAGCTTTGCGAGCCCCATCTTCTGACGAGCCCTGTAATTATCTCCCTCAAGGGAAGACTTGCTTTTTTGAGGGTGCTTTGGACATGGGGCTGTGTCTCCCCATTTATCCCGCTGTTGGTTACATCTTGACCTATTGTGGGTTATGCCCTTCTCGTCTCTCTCCCAAGGAGTGGGACATCATGATCAGTTTCTTTCTATTTTGGCGCTTGCGTGGTGATGGCAAATTCCCCATTGTGGGAGAATTCTTCTACTTTTTCGACGTCGAGGAGGATAAGGTCCCGAGCTTTGTCTGCTTTTGGTGGAGGCACTTCAAGCTGCGACGTCTGGTGTTTGACCTTCCTTCTCCTCCTGAGGGATGGGTCAATCATTTCTTTTCTATAAGTGGGGATTCTTGGAGATCAATAGAGCTGCACTACAGAGAGTGTAGAGTTCCCAGATCTTGGAGGAGCTACTTTTATTCGGGTAAGTATGTCGGCAACCTATATTTGTTCGGATCTTTTAATGTAATCTCCTGGATCTGTTAGTGGAGATGCAAATTGGTTAGATGATAGAAGTTGAGTCCGTGTCCTATTTTGAGCTAGTGACATCAGATAACTTGTTTCTGGTTAGTGTTACCGGTGCCGCTATAGACTTTGTTTCTTATCCAGATTCTGCTGATTTCTATCCTTCTGAATCTGATGACGTTGAGGACGTTGGTACTTTGGGAAACGCAAAAGTTGCCATGGCAGTGACTCCTCTTCTTTATCTGGATCTTCTCTGGCTGCCATATTGTTCTCCTCATTTGGGCAAAGATTTGTAAATCTTCTGACTGAAGCCCAGAAGGAAAGGGATGAGCTGAAAGAAGAAAATGCCCGCCTGAAGGAGGAAGTCGCAGAGCTCCAGAGACGCTTAAAGGGCAAATAAGGATTGAGAATATCTCTTGTTACCCCTTTTGTTTTTTTTTTCTTCGTACTATTGCTGGATATATGAACCTCTGTTCTTATTTGATGGCTACTGGTTCTTCTGTGGACTCTTGAACTTGTAATCTTGAATCTAGTTATATGTCTCTATTCACGGGTTTCAGGACCCTTTTGAGTGGATTGGTAGGGTAAGCTGTGAGCTACAGAGTTCGTTTTACGAACCGAAGAGTTCATCCTGAGCTATAGGGCTCTTTTATGCACTGAACTATTCAAAGTGAGCTGCAGAGCTCTGTTTACGAACTAAAAAGTTCATCTTTATTTTATGAGCTGAGTAGCTCATCTTTATTTTATGAGCTAAATAGCTCATCTTATCTTTATGAGCTGGAAAACTCACCTTAATTTTATGAGCTGAAGAGCTCACCTTTATTTTGTGAGCTGAAGAGCTCATCTTTATTTTATGAACTGAAGAGTTCATCTTATCTTTATGAGCTGGAAAACTCATCTCAATTTTATGAGCTGGAAAACTCATCTCAATTTTATGAGCTGAAGAACTCATCTTATCTTTATGAGCTGGAAATCTCATCTGAATTTTATAAACTGAAGAGTTCATCATTATTTTATGAGCCAAAAAACTTATCTTATCTTTATGAGCTGGAAAG